TAATCCTGTCCCAAAGGAAGCCCCGCTTCAAAACCAGTCTGCAGTACGCAAACTTGAGTCACAGTATTAAAAACAATAAAAATTCAGTGCCTCTCCTGCAGTCCACGCAATTACACAGCAGAACCACAACTGACACAAACAACAGGTGTACAGAAAGCAACCTAGTGTACCTACTTGTGCCTAATGTTCCACTCCTGAGCTGCTGGACCAGAGGGTTTAATAGTTTTCCACCTTTCAATTTATTTTTGCTGGTTCTTCGGCGACGGCTGCTTGGTGGGGCTGAGTGAAGGAACCCCAGGTTGGGAGGAAGAGGCTTCCCTAACCGAATATACAGTGCCTCTATCTCATTCTTCTGCTGAGTCTGAAGTTCAGCAATTTCTTTCATATGCCTAAACATTAAAAAAAAAAAAAAAAAAGAACTCTGCTAGCGACAGTTTTGATAAAGCATCACATCTTGACAGCATAATTAGTTATAAAAAAAAGAAACAAAACAGTCTTTGGTTATAAAACAATCAACTGTTCATCCAAAAGTATGTGAAGTTATAACAATTTACACGGCAAATGTGGTGACTGACTTCTCAAATATTCATTTATAAGACAGAATTCAACATCCTTAGTAAATACAACCGATTCTAACAAGAGATCTGACAGGAACTCCAAACTGTTCCAGAAATTCTCTCCTCAAACCAGAGGCTTCAAAAAAGGTAAGTCTCAAGGCATGTACATCAGTTTGAAGGGTTTCAACACAAAGAAGGACAAAAGTGCTTCTCATAAAAACGCCATTAGCGCGTGAGTCATTACCTTGTTTATAATGCAGATTTCATGATGCCATAAAGTCAGTTTAAAGGTTTTGTATTAATGTTTTAAAAAGATGCATCATCTGTATCCAGTAAAACTATTATACCTTAAGGTAAAATTGAACAGTTTGGTTAAACTAGCACCTAATGCTAGTTTTTACCTGTCACCTGCCAGAAAAGAAAGAAAATGTTCAAATATAAGCAGCTAGCTCTCAGGACTGGCAGCACAACAGACTCCTGCCAGGCTCACCCAGCCTCCCACCGAGAATAGACCAATGACTTGAGATCCAATGGGTGGCAGAGTGAGGGTCTTACCTGCCTAATAGATACTCGGTTATCTACCATAAAAGAGAGTCTGTGAATAGCGATGGGTCTGTAGACCCGACAGTCTCAATCACCCCTGCAGAGAAGGGCATGAAGAGCACGCTATGGCAGCTGTCTACACAAGCATCCAGATTATTTTTATGCCGCCTGAAGTAGGGTCCACATGGGAACCTCCTATCACATACATCACAAGTGCTCTTGTTTGCTACCGTACCGACATAGCTTTTCAGTAAGGAAACTGGACATCACAGCAGAAGTGTTTTGGCGTTTAAATAAGTTATTATTGAATTATTCTTCTAAAGGAAATCCATAAATAAAGTGATGCATAAAAGGATGCAGTATGACATTTGGGGGAAGGTCCTAGCAATGCCTAATTTGTCCAGAACCAGTTTCCTCATTACAGCTACGAAAACCACACATTGGCTCCTCATATGCAGAGACGCTGCCTTAACACAAGCCTCCCTAGCGTTGTTTGCAAACCCAACATACTTCTCTCTCAGGTTCTGCAATTCCTTCTTCATATCTGCATCTTCAAATTCCGAGTCGTTGTCGCTGCTCATGTACGACGACTGCGAGTGGAAAGACGTTATGTTGATGGTAGGAATTTTTGTTCCTTGCCCGTTGGGTGAATCGAGGCCTGGTGAGCTAGCTTTGCCAGATCTTTGCAGAAAAGCAGCTGCTTTTTTAATTAAGTCAGTGGCCGCACTACTGCTCGGGGGGGAGAGCTGGGCAGCGGCAGCCGGCTGCCGATGGAAAGGCTCATCGGCAGAATCACTCGAACCCTGGTCGCAGAGGACATCGACAGAAGAGGCTGTCTGCACCCGTCGGACAGCTGTCTTCAGGTCAGGGCTGGAAGGTAGCTCATCCAAATAGACGTCTGGGGGTGCTGAGAACCTTAAGCAGTGTGGTGCTGTTAAAGTTAATTCATCCTGCGTGCTGATTACTGAAAACCTGCCAATAGTTTTGGCTGGTGTACCGCTATCATGAGTTTCAGCCTGTTTTCCATAGGAACCAGAGTCTAGAGAGTCATCCCTTTGAAGGTTATTTATCACCCCATCTGCTGTAGATATCTGCGTTACGTTATCTGTGTGTGCAGACGAAGTCATAGTCTTTGCCTTCTCGCTCCTTTTAGACATTTCCATCTGTTTAGTTACGCCTGATGATGTAGGTGCAACCTGGAGAAAATAACAGAGATTAATTTTGAAAGTAACTGTAACGATCAAGTATAAAACTGCTCCTAGTTTCTGGTTACCTGAAGGAGGCCTTTTGCTGCAGCAGCAGGAGCTGAAGTGATGCTTGCAGCCGAACCTATTTTACAAGTTGGAAAAAAAATAAAAAATTCATTTCCGGAATGCTTTAGTTTACTAAAAGCCAACGTGTTTACTGCGATAAAATGAAGTGTGATAAAGTGTAGCACTGAAGAATAATTTACATATCCAATCTTCAATACAGGATCTATAATGCAAGAGGCAATACCAATGACAATATAAAATATCTTTCAGGTAGGCACTCTCTTAAATGTAGTGATTTGGGGAATTCAAATAATAGGAGTATGGAATCTCATTAGTCAGTTGAAAATTTTTTAAGGAGAAAACCAAAAGAATGAAATCTGAAGGGTGCATTGGGCCTCCAGTACTAAGGTGTTCTTGATGTCTCGAAAAAATAATTGTCTCGCCTACTTATGCATACGAAATGCTGCAGTAGACCACAGAGGGACCGGTATGACACCAACAATTGAAAGTGCCTGAAATGAAGTTAAACACACATTGCTGAAAGTGGGAATTATCAGCTCAAAAGATGGCTGCTCAACCACAGAAGCACGCAAGAAGCAAAATATTAGCGGTAGTAATCAAGATGTGATTATTTCACAACCTGGACACTGGTTTTGAAGTTAAACCAATAAACGCAAGGTTTTCAGAAAGCTGCTTTCTTATGGCACATTGCTCAGAGCGAACATAAGGCAAAAATCTGTCACTTCAGAGTTCTGAAATGGTGAAATACATCACTGCTTGATAGTATCCAAGATACATTACTTTCACTACACAGTGCTACATTCTACTTGCATACCCTCTTCTTTGTCTGGGCAAGACAGATGAATGTGGGCTACCCAACCCCTTCCCCTCTCGCACTGACCTAAAAAGCAGTAGACAATCTTGACCACCAGGTCAAGAACGCTCTATGCTGTTGCACAAACCTGGTAGCCAGCTTTGCCATGACAACCTCGAAAACAATATATATATTATATGCCCTCCCCAACGCCACCCATGACAGCAGGAGCAGTTTTGGGTTCCTCAGCCCTTAAAACTGCCAATGACTTTCAAGACAGGTAAATGGAGCTTGAGAAATACCCAGTTTCTTACTATGGCTCCTACTGTGTTATTATACAAAGTGACATTGTATCTGAAAAGAGGAGTACTCTACACTAGTTCTCTGTGGGACTTGGAAAAATCTTACAGGCTTCCCCCCAGCAAGAAGCTACTCTCAACCATGTTATTTTTGTCAACACGCGTTTTATGAAACCCAGGAAATCCTTGGGGCTTTCCGTTTGGACTTTTTAAGGGCACTGGAAACATATTATTGGGAACGTAGCCTTCCATGTGAATACCCTACACCTACACCACAGACACATGTTACATATTTAGGGTTTCAAATAAACCCGCCTGTGAGGTGGTTTCTTTCTAGGAAGCTTGACAGAAGTGAGATGTTTAATATTAATATTACAAATAGGATGAGAAATGGCCTGTGCTGAGCAGTGCCTTGCAGTTAGCAAGGAGGGTGAGCAGCAAGGGGACACCGGAGCAGAGAACCATGCACTCTGACAGCTGCCTCACTGCCGGTCATCACTGAAAGAAGCATTACCTTTTCTGCTTGCTGACCCACCTCTTGCTTCTGAGGAATGAGCACCGATGCCAGTGATCTCCAACTTTTCAAGCTTTCCGTAAAAAAAAAAAAGAAAAAGAATTAGTCTCGCGCACAGAGCAGAAAGGCAATGTGTTCTCCTTCCCTCACGCTATTGTGGCATATTAGAACTATTTTATAGTGTCTGTGGAGGTGGCCTTCTAGCTTTTCCTTCAACTCCATTTTTTTTCCTCCCTTGGAATTAAAAAAGCAGTGTCACAGAGTGTACCTCTGTGCAACCTAAGTTACCAAACAGCAGGCACTGCATCGTATATACCAGTTTGTTTTTTTTTTTCTGGTTTGCTTTTCCAGCCAGACTGTACGTTCTTCCCCTGTATGTCTGTCTGCAGAAATTCTATGTCTCTCTTTTCTTATTGGCAAAGATTTTAACAGGACAAATTAAAATTACTGGAGAGACATAACATCTTCCATAGAGTGAGAATTTTATCTGCTGCAGAAAGTCATTTATCATTTTAAACATATGCTCTAAAGAGTTACTCAGGTGCAGCTGTCTCTCCTGTAACATACAGCATCTTTCAAGCAGTTGACACAGTTCACCCAGCTGACACTACACAGAACAGCCTCATGCTTGCTAGCGGTGATGTGATCACCTCCAGAAATGCTACTTTTCAAGTAAGACATACACGGATCTTCTAGCAGAAAGTGCTGAAATCTGTTGAATTTTGTAAACTCATGATTTTATCTGAAAGGATGCAGCACAGGTGCACAACTGAGCCACCAAGTAAATAATGACCCAGACCACCTCCTCCAGCTTTCCTTAGATACTTCCTGGAGAAGTCTTGCTCTGCCAAGTTCAGGGGAAGACAAAAGAAACCATTACTGGAAGCAGAGCAAGCTTCTACCTGTGGAGCGTCTTCCTTCAGCTGCAGCACTTGAACAAAGCAAAGGCTCACGAAGTGTTTATTTTATTCAGACTGACTTGGAAGGCAGTCATTATAGTCACTGCCATTAATTTATATATAAAAGAAAGAAATTCCTACTGAAGCATGATCACCTTCATCAGAACTTGAATGACTATACCCCTCGTGTTTTACATTCTTGAACTACAAAAAATTTATCACATTTCAGCCTGCTTTAGAAACAGGACACAGGAGGAATTAAGATATTAGTCCACTTGGAAACCCAAAGGAAAAATTTGGCTTTTGCTAACAAGCATTTAGGTAAAATAAGTCGGAACAGATGTGACAAAGTAAAAAATTTAAGACAACTTCACACTGGAAAGCAGTCAACAGACAAAAGGTGATAAACCCAGGAGCAGAAACATAAAACATCTGGAGAAGCCAGAAATCTATACATGTCCTGCCACAGGCTCGTTGGTTCTGAGCTCTGCTTTGGTGCTGCTGCCAACAGCTGGGTTTGGGGGTGTAAAGGGCAGTCATGGCTGGACTTACCCGCGTTGGGTAGGGGCAGATCTCAGATGGTACCGGTGGCACCAACAGGGCCTCGGCAGCAGCTTTCCCCTCTGGGCCGGTATCTACAGCATTATGGCCAGGCTCTCTCAAATCCAACGCCAGCATGGGAACTTGATCTTCGGGAAAAGGCGGCAAGTTAAATTCGCTGTCGCCCTGCTCTAAGGGGACGGAGGTGTCCGGCGTCCCTGCTGATGCAGAAGAAGTAGGAACGTACTCCTGGTAAAGCAAATTGCGCAGTTTCTCATCAAGGCTTTTTATCGTGTTGTCGACGAAGTCCACCCGGGGGGGTCCCTCCCCATCGGACTCGGTGGTGCCGGGCTGCTGCTGCAGCAGGCCCATCCCCACGCCGGCAGCGGGCTGTGCCTGGGGCAGCGCAGCCTGCGG